GCCCTGCCAAACCCGGGGTCCACTCTGGGGCGTCTCCTCCTGGTCACCCTAGGTCCTAGGTGGTCCCAAGCACCGGGGTCCCAGCCCTTCCCCCACCAGCCCCCACTGGGGGAACCTTTCATCCCCCTTCTGTACTCGTCTCTGGCTCCTCCTTTCACAGCTTCCAAGCAGATGTGTCCGGTCAGCGCACTGTCGAGGGCAGCGGACCGCAGCCCCCACTCCCACCCGTGTGGAGTCACTGTCCTCGCTGAAGGTCACCCAGCGGGCGTGTTGCAGTTCAGGCAAGCGGCTCTTGGCCGCCCAAGGGCAGGACTGATTTTAGCCGGAGGGTCAGTGAGCTCGTCATTCCTGAAATCCTCATTTTCCAGGGTAACTGGCCACACCAGGCCCCAGACCCAGCCCGCGCCCTTGCGGCCACTCCCGGCATGGACAGGGTCGGCCCGCCCGGCAGCTGCCCCAGGGCCGCAGAGCGCCCTCCCCCGACACCGCTGCTCCCTGGGAGCCCCGGCTCCCCACACCCGCGGCGGCTCCACCGGGAGTCAAACCTGGTCTGGAAACCCCTGGGGTCCGCCTGCGGCTGTCTGAGTGACCAGCAAAGCGGCCCCTTGAGGCCCATGACGAGGAGACTCCGCCCGCCAGTGGCGGTCACTCAGGCCTCCTGGGACGTGCCCACTCGGCCAGCCCGGCCGGGGAATGGATGGACAGAGACGCCCCACAGCACGCGGAGGGGATCCTCGGTTGTCCAGACAGGACCTGGCAGCAGAGAGGGTGCGTGACCCCTCAAGGCCCGAGCGGGAGTACTGAGCGGACCGGGTGTCACTTCATGTCACAGGAGCACTTTGCCGCCACTCGGAGCTCTCACCGCTCACTGTCTGCTGGGGCTGGTGACGCCAGGAGGGGGGGAGTCGCCCGCTGGCAGGGACGGGGCGCATCGGCTCGCGGGGTCCCGGGACGGTGGAGTGGGGGCTGTAACCGCGCTGTAACCAGAACAGAGGAGCCCCAGTGGCTGTGGTCAGGGCGAGGCCTGGCCCTGCCTTAGTCCATGAGTGTCCCCGGTCCTGACCTGATGTGAGGGGGGCGGTAATGGGGGCCCAGTGACCGCAGGCCTGGGCGGGCAGGGACCCTCCCCTAAGCTACTCCAGGGCCTGGGACCCGGCTGGGGGTGAGCACACCCAGGGAGGCTCTGAGGAGGACACAGCCTGAGGCTCCCTCCCGGCATGGGGCACCTCAGAATCAAACCAGAAAGAGGCCAGGGGAGCAGTTCCTCTTCCTGTGGGAGGTGACTTGACATCCCGTGACGGGGAGGACCAGCCCAGTGTCCCC